ATTGAGAAAAAGAGAGGAAAAGAGACAGGCCTAGGGTTTGAAGGTGTGAAGAAGGAACAATGTTGGAATCTCTCGAGAGCTTATTTAAATCGCATCCTCGTTGTGTTTTCCATCTTCTAATCATCAACTGTCGAGGAGTGTCACCCTTAGACTGTAGTTTCATCATCGTTCTTCCATATCTTCACAATAAACCTTTTTGAGAATGATTTTAGTAAAAAAGGATTGTGGGGTCTTTCTAACTACGCTTGATTGATATTTATTTTCGTAAAACTCTTTTTATTACTACCATCTAATCAGAATTTGTGTGATTGTGCACTCGAGTCGGTGTTAATTGACGAAGTGGATTAATGGCATACTCAAGTCGTAGTTAATTGAGAAAACGAGTCACTAGCAAGAGACAGGGTTACGCACTAGTGATACGTTGTTCGGTGAAGATGACTAGATTAGGGTCAGTCGAGGGAGCATAAAGCCTGCTAGATTAGATTTGTGATCCAGGTGAACAACATCATATAGTGTGAAAGCCCCTTCACAAGAAGAAAGAGTGGATGTAGGAATTTATTCCGAACTATTGTAAAAATTCTCGTGTTTCTGTTAACTCTGGTTATTTTCTGCTGCATAGACTAATCTAAAAAAGAGTAGCAACAGCGTTGCATCTAGACCCCCAACACACGGATAACCCGTAAAAAGGATACAGTCCAATATATGAATGTCAAACTTTTCCTAAATCATGTCATACTTTTATGATCACGGACTCGGGGTCATGATAACGACATACACCCATCAAGCAAGTCTTACCATTTACAGAAACACGCTGAGTTATGACGGTATCATATAAAAAAGGTTCACGGCAGCTTCAAACCCAATTGTTGTCCTAAACTGAAACATCATCCGTCCCATTTTTAAGAGATCTTTCAAATTCTTTCAGAGGATCTCCATTTAAAATTAAAAACAAAAAAGGCGTCATCATTAGACCTTCATAATCTGAATGCCACATACTTGAGAATGACTACTAAAGAATGATTCTAGAAAGACTAGTAGCTAAAAGATTCAGAGGGGACTACCACCAAAATGGGAGCTTTTTTCAAACCATGCCCTGTTTGAAAAACAGCCGCTGCACAAAATTTTCTATGCGTGTGGTAAAGCGTCATGACTGATAAGGTACCTGAGAAAAAAAAAAGCCCTGCATAGTTTGACCTATCTAGAACATTCAGTTTTAACTCAACATGAATTAATTTAGCCAACATGAGAACGAGGGGTCATGTAGATAATAAAACTATTGCAAGCATGACGTAATAACTTTCAGAATTACCCGCGCCAAATTTCGCAGGGAACCAAATGAACAATATGGGATGATGGTGATAATCACCATTGCAGGAACCAAGTCAATTTGCTGAAACGACAGACGAAAGGTTCAAAGAACATTTAAACTTGAGAAGACTTGTCCAAACATCACACGATGATGATGATAATAATAACTATAGAAGCTCACGTCCTAATCCTCCCCTTATTTATGATCATCATTTGCGCACCGCGCATTCTGTTGATCTGAAAGAAGAAGGAAACTCACCTGCTGCAAGGATAACTGCTCTGATGGGATATTCAAACTGAAGAATTAAGAAGTCTGATGTCATGCGTTACCTCTTTAATTAGAATGTTCTTCTGTAAAGTACTAGTTGAAAAATGAAATCAATATGAATCAATCAAAAGGAGATGGGAGCTTGTTCTCAGTTCAGATATCTTCTCGAAAGAAATCATCCATTAGTCCTTTTCCTAATGTGTTCTAGATGGTGAATATTGACGAAATGGAAGTGAAAAGATGTTGGGTGCTGATTGATCCTCAAATACGCAGCATTTCGGATCATTAACCCTTTTGGCATCTTCCTGATCTTGGATCGGAGGCAACTTAATCTTGTTGTTTTCTATGAGGTATTTGAAAATACCGGGGACTTCATCTTCTTTGAATGAGTAGACCTTCGGGAATTTCGGTTCCGAAGTCTTCTGTTTCTGAGGCTGTTGTTGCCACCGTGACTGCTGCTGTTGTGGTTGCGATTGCACTTCGAATGTTTGGTTCGCGTCCACTGCATTCGCTTGCGCTTTCCCTTTACCCCTCAGAACAAAATTCTGCTGTGGGGCTGGTGTCGCTGTTTGACCTCTTTCGACCTTTTTCCTCTTGAGGAAACGTTCGGCTCTTTCCCCTCGGACCTTCAAGTCTTTCCAGGTCTTAGATGGTGCCATCGGCGATACCAATTGAAGGCTGCTCCGCGAAGAGTGCCGACGAATGACCGTACCATCAAAGGTTCATTCCCGGAGATTATCCCCAAGTGAGACTTGAAGTATATTAAATGCTGAGTGGGGAAGCCCTTTCCATCAAACGGTGTGAAGTTGATTAAGTTAAACTTGCGCGGGTCGGTTTGTTCCGTCCTGCGCTCGCGCTGGTTTCCAACTTTTTTCTTTTCCTGTTCTCTTTCTTCTGAGACTTGTTCTCTTCGTGTATTTGGTTTGCTTTGTTGACTTGTATGCTTCGCCGCAAGACCGACCGTCGAACTCGCGTTGGTTGATATACGCGTGCTTGATCGATGCGCGCGGACTGATTGGCGTGCGCGCGTTGACCGACACGCACGAGCTGGTTGACGTGCACGCGTTTGACCGACGCGCACGAGATGATTTAACGTGCGGGCGTTGACCGGCGTGCACGAGTTGGTTTGACGTGCACGCATTTGACCGACGTGCACGAGTTGGTTTGACGTGCACGCATTTGACCGACGTGCACGAGTTGGTTTGACGTGCACGCATTTGACCGACGTGTACGGGTCGAATGGCGTGTGTGCGCTGAGCGACGCGCGCGAGCTGATTAGGCGAATCTTCTTGACTCGTCAATTCATTACTTCGAGTTTCGTGCGGGCTCTCATAGACAATTTTAGACGCCTACAGATACCCCCTCCAAAGTGTTTCAGCCTCATTCTTTTATAGAGGAGTCTGAAATGCTTTGGATATGATGGATCCCCACCTTCAGTCGGTGTTAAAGGACCTACAGATGGTTTCGATTCTTGACTTCTCCATATTTCAGCATATTCTGTATTTTGTCAAATAGCTAAAATTTCCCCGGTACTGCGTTTATCGTCTGACCGTTATTGAAGCCTTGAACCGAAATTGGTGAGTAGACTTTGGCTCGTGTTATTGAGTTGACTTTTTGATTAATTATCTGCATCGCAACGCGCTGACCGGCGTTGACCTAGGGCTCCACGTTGCTCCGCGTTGACCTTAGGGTTTTGAATCGATCGGCGTTGACTTTTATCGCAACGCGTTGACCAGCGTTGACCTAGGGTTACACGTTGACCGGTGTTGACCTTAGGGTTTCGAATCGATCGGCGTTGACTCTTCATCGTAACGCGTTGACCGGCGTTGACCTTAGGGTTTCGAATCGATCGGTGTTGACTTTTATCGCAACGCGTTGACTGGCGTTGACCTAGGGCTATGTATTGACCGGCGTTGACCTTAGGGTTTCGAATCGATCGGCGTTGACTCTTCATCGCAACGCGTTGACCGGTGTTGACCTAGGGCTACGCGTTAACCGGCGTTGACCTTAGGGTTTCGCGTTAACCTGAGGAGAACCAGTTTATACCCGTGTACTCCTGGGAGTTTCGGGAATTAGTTTAGCCTCGTGTACCCGTCGGAGGTTGTCAGGTTATCCTTAAGAAGGGAGTTTCGGGAATTAGTTTAGCCTCGTGTACCCGTCGGAGGTTGTCAGGTTATCCTTAAGAATTATTGTATATAATATTCTCTAGGAACTTCCTGTCAAAATGGGAAACAGTTTAGACTCATGTACCCGTTGGAGTTTGGATTTCGAATATTCCGATAATAGGCGAAAATATCACGAAATCACCCAAAATATAAAATTAGGTCACGAATATTCCGAAAATAGGCGAAAAATCACGAAATCACCCAAAATGTAAAATTGGGTCTCGAATATTCTGAAAATAGATGAAAATATCTCAAAATTATTTGGGAGATAGAATTATACTCCGAAAATTCCAAATCTGAGTGAAAATGCCGCCAAATTATCCGGGAGATGAATTTGAACTCTGAACGTTCCAAATATGAGTGAAAACGCCGCGAAATTATCCGGGAGATGAAATTGAACTCTGAAAATTTTGAAAACGGACGAAATCAGTCGAAAATACAGCAAAACAGGCACTAAACCAGGTCTGACCCGCGTTCACGCGGGTCAGATGAATCCGACCCGCGTGATCGCGGGTCGGATCAATCCGACCCGCGAGCACGCGGGTCGGACACAAGTCCGACCCGCAAAACGCGGGTCGGGGGTGTACACGGGATAAAAATCCCCTTCTTCCTCTTTCTTCGGTATTTCCAGCTCTCCTCCTCTACAAATTTCGGTTTCCTTCTCTTCCCCACAACTCTATCTTCTTCAAGCTCTCTCCATTCAAGAACTCTTCTACTACAGAAACTCTTTTCCTTTAAGAACTTCCAAATCCCTCAACCTTGCTAAGGACAAAAGGCTCTTGAGAGGTTTGGAGCTTGGCCGAAATTTTCTTCTCTTCACAAACAAACTAGGGCTTTGGCAATTTTGAGATTTTCTTCTTCTTCAAACTCCAACCTTCTTGAAACTCGGGTAAGCTTCTCCTCATTGCTTTGATTTCAGTTTTGAATTCTTGATTTTGAACCCATGGGTTTTGATGGTTGAAGCCCTAATTCTTGAAATTTGGGGAAAAGAACTGAAATTTGGTTGAACTTTGGGTATTGACCGAATTTTTGGCTTTGGTTGTGTTCATGATTTGATATTGCAGTCCGCACTCTTTAATTTTAGGAGAAAACCGAAAATTTTGGATTGGGTTTGTTCATGGCCGAATTCTTGGACTGTTCATGGCCGAAATTTTTTTGATTGTGTGAGCATGGCTTGTGTTGGCCGAAATTTGGGGTTGTTCATGTGAGCATGGCTTGATCACTGCTATCTTGAATTCATGATTTGGAATTCATGGTTTGATGGTTGATGACTGAATGTGTGGTCGAACAGCTCTTCGAACCTGTATATGGCTGAAAATTTTGTTGAGGTCTTTGAGCTATTCATGGCCGAATTCTTTTATGTGCTTGAACTTTGTATATAATTCGAACGCGTATATAATTGAACTCATGTATATGATTGAACTCAAACTTTGTATATAGCCAAGCTCTTGTATATAATTGAATTTGTGCATGACTTGAATCCGAACTCGTATGTGGTCGAATGACTCGAATTCGTACTTGTATGTGGCCAAGAATTGACTTTGCATATAATCGAATTCCTTCGCTTGAACTGACTGCTCATAAAGCTTGAGTTATGTGGGAATTCACTAAACATGGTTGTGAATAAGAACCAAACCAAATTCTCGATTTAGGGAACATATCGAGGCCTTGATTCTTGATTTTGATTTTGTGTATGCCTCGAATCCAAACTTGTATGTGGTTGAGAACCTTATACGCCTTGAATTTGTACATGTGTGAGGCCGGGACTTGACTTAAACTCAAACTTGTACATAACCAAACTTCGTATATATGATTGAATTCGTGCATAACTGAATTCTTGTATATGATTGCATTCTTGTATGGTTCGAACTTGTACATGATTGAACTCGTATGTGACTGAATCCAAACTTGTATGTGGTCGAAATAACTTGAATCCCAACTTGTGTATGGCTCGAGAACCTTATATGCCTTGAATTTGTACATGTGATTGAACTTTTGCATATGGTTGAACTTGTATATAACTGAGCTCTTGTATTATTGAATTCATATGTAACTGAACTCGTGCATGCCTTGAATTCGAGCTATTCTTGTATATGATTGAGCTTGTGAATCCACATGTTGACATGATCAAGGTCTTATATTTGACTCTGTGACGCTTAACTTGAACCGAGAATGTCGTATAGGTTTAATTGGACCCTTAATTAGAAAATTCCATTTTGTAGAATTTCAATAATTGGACCCTTAATTAGAAAATTCCATTTTGTAGAATTTCAATTAAAGATTCGCAATTTCCCTTTTAAGCTCTGATTCATATATCTTGATTCTTGATTTTGTAGAATTTCAATTAAAGATTCGCAATTTCCCTTTTAAGCTCTGATTCATATATCTTGATTCTTAATCTAACAGAGCTGTTGATCTTTGTTACAGATTAGCCATGTCGACGATTTGGACCGGCTGGAGCGCGAATTCCGATGGTTACAAGAGCTGAAGACTGCCGGTACTTCAACGTACATAGCCATCCGGATGGAATCTCGTCTACAAGCATGGCACGACACTCGGGCTTCTGCTGGACTTGAGATTCAAACGCAACAAAGTCAGGTGGATCAAATGGAGGCCGTCCTCGCTGAGAAACAAACATATACGCGTCAACTCAAATCCTCTATTACGTCGGGTAAGGCTAAGATAGAGCGACCCGAAGAGGAGCTCAAAGCAGAGGTGGAGGCCTTGGCTATCTTAGGGATGACGAAGGATGACTTGGAGCGTTCACAAGTTGTGATATGCGAAAAATTGGAGCTCTCGAAACAGAAGTTAGCCAAGATCAAACAAGAGGCTGTGAAAACATTATCCCTCACCGAGGAATCCTTCAAGGTTGCATTGCAGTGTGAGCTTGAGCGAACTTATACAGAGAAATTGACTAAACTTGAACAGCAAGTCCGTAGTCACAAATTTCATGTAGATTGATTGTAACTCTTGTACCTGCAAACTCAATTTTATTAATAGAAGATATGTCTTTTTCATTCGTTATGTCTCCTTTATTATGATGTCTTACTCCGTATGGAATAATCAACCATAATCCTTGTGGGATTTTTGACAAACCCCCAGCCTTCAACGGGTTTGATGAGCCTTTACCGACTACCGTCTGAGTCGGGCTAGCATGCAGATTATTCTATATCCGTTCCGCATGTAACGTTGTGCTAAGAGAATTAATTCTCTTAGACTTAGTGCTATGATTTTGAATACATAGACTTCACCATTTCTTATGGAAATATGGCACCCGGCAACGCGTGCTAGGCGTTAACTTACCCCTTCTTAGGCTTCGGGATAAAATTCCCCAGACTTAGACTCTGGTGTCTTTTTCAATCGGTAAAAGACTAAACCGGCGACGCGTGTTAGACGTAGACTTAGGATTTTTGGCAAACCCCCAGCCTTCAACGGGTTTGGCGTGCCTTTACCGATTACCGTTTGAATCGAGCTAGCATGTGAATTATTAAAACATGTTTCACATATAACGTTGTGCTAAGAGAGTTAATTCTCTTAGGCTTAGTGCTATGCTTTTGAATACATAGACTTCACCATTTCTTACGGGAATATGGCACCCGGCAACGCGTGTTAGACGTTGACTTGCCCCTTCTTAGGCTTCGGGATAAAATTCCCCAGACTTAGACTCTGGTATCTTTTTCAATCGGTAAAAGACTAAACCGGCAACGCGTGTTAGACGTAGACTTATCTCTATTTAGGAGTCGAGATAAAATTCCCCGTGCATGAAGTACGCGGATTGGAAGTTGAGAATGGAGTCTTTTCTCAAGGTAAAGACAAACCCGATGCTGGAGAGGAAGAATTTTATATTCTGTCTCCAGGTCTTGTTCAGGGTAAAGACGAACCCAAAAATGAAAGAGGAAGAATTTTATATTCTATCTCCCAGCACTGAAGAGGAAGAATTTTATATTCTATCTTCAGTTGGAAAGGAAACTCGAAGTGGGATCTCCACCCCCAGAATCCGGAAAGATGAAACTAGGAGTGGGATCTTCACTCCGAGAATCAGAAAGATTCAAGCAACCCTAACTTTTATAGGATTGGTTGCTTGATCCAAGAAAAGAGTTCCTCATTTATTGAGAGAAAATTCCGATTTCGACCCTAACTTTTATAGGTTTGGCTGAAAAGGAAAAGATGAAAGCCTTTCGTTTATCGAAAGGGATGACTCGATCTTAGTCCTAACTATCTGCAAGTTTGACTAAGTGAGGTCGGAGACAATCCTAACTTTTATAGGTTTGATTGTTCAAATTGAAAGTGGACCTCTCGTTCATGGAAGGAATCGAGAGGGGAATTTAGCTTTGGCCCTAACTTTTATAGGTTTGACCTGAAAGCAAAGAGAGTAAAATACAGGTAGCAGTAGAAATACCGGTTTGTACTAGCCACTCGATGGAGGATTTTGATGTTAAGTGATCAGGACTTAACACGTCAAGCTTTGAAAATTGCCATGAATTGGCGGATAGGAATTTTGGTGGGCCCACCATCAATTGATTTGATCAGTGGGGGATTTTGCAAGGAAAGATTGATCTGTCAAAATGGTCGAATCTTATCTCAGCAAAAAAATTCATGAGAATTTGTGAATTCGATATTAACAATAAAATATGCTTCAGCTTTGAATACATTCAGAGTCCAAATGTGGATTTCTTATTCATTACTTTCATAGCAAGGGGTTATCCCTAAGAATACCACATGCGGTATTCTTCTGGGAACTTCCCGATACATTGGTTATCCTGAAGATACTAAGGATAGTACTTTTTCAAGAACTTGTCGTTTATCAGCATCATAAGTTGGACGCCTTCCTTGGTAATAAGGCGATATACGCCGCTGAGTAGGTTATCTCTACTATAAACGCAGTTGACTGTTAGTTGAGAATCACCGAAAACTTTTGAGATATTCGACCCTAGCTCTTTGGCGAAACTGAGTCCAATAAGCAATGTCTTATTTTCAACCCTTTTATTGATGTCAGATTATCCTTAAGAATATTATGTATAATATTCTCCAGGAACTTCCCGTTTGATACAAGGGAAACAGTTTATACTTGTATACATGTTGGAGTTTTGAAAGGAGCAGTTTATACTCGTATACTTTTCGAAGTACGGTGATCGTTCTCATTCGGTTTGTTCTGCCGTCGAGACGCCGACTTCAACTAAGGCCTGTATTGTATTTTTGAGAACGTTGCAAGCCTCAGTGGAATGAAGAACCCTCCTGTGGTACCCACAATATTTTGGGTGTGAACTCCTGTTAGCTTCTTCCTGATTTTTAATAGGTGGCAGCTTAATTTTGTTGTTTTTCAGGAGGTATTTGAGGATGACTGGAACATCATCATCCTTGAAAGCATATCGTTGCATCTGAAGCGACTGTTGTGGCGATCGCTCCCGCGGTTGTCGTTGTATTGTTTGGTTGACATCAATAGCGAACCTGGGTATGACCTCTTGTTGGCCTCCATCAACTTTCTTTCTTTTAGGATAGCGTCTATTGGAGGTGGTGACAAACTCGACTTCCCTCTGCTTCTTATCTTCGTCTTCATTTCTCTTCGGACGATGTCGAGAAGAAGGAATTGGGCCACCCTCAGTGTCATTGAGAGGTGCGATTGAACCACCCCCAGTGTTATCGAGGAGTACATCAGTCTTGATGACTATATCCAGGTTTGGACTATTGTCATTTGTCCTATTTTGAATAGGCGTGATTGGTGTAGTGTAACAACTAGACGCAGCCTGATGCTCGGATTTAGGAAATTTGTATTTTTGAGCCTGCAGCTCTCTTATTTGTTGCATGGCCAACTCCATCTCAGCCTCAAATTCTTCTTTCTGCTTGATTAATGCTTTTTGAACTATTTGGGTGAGCTGATCAGGAGTGATTGTGAACGCCTCTCTAGTTTTTTTAGAAAGACGTGATAACTCGTGTAGAGTTACTTTCACTGGGATGTTAGCCAATTGGGTCATAACATCGAATTGGTATGAAGTGTTTGAATTTTCCGGTTTATCTCTTCCAATTGGCCAATTGAAATGAGACTGCCTCGGGTTTTGAACATCTTGGTGCAGGGGCTCCTGCGGGGTCTTCTCAGCAGGTGCGGGGGGAGTTGTAATCACCCCCACCTCAGCTAGTCGATCAGAGACACTTGGATATTTGAACCGATACTCATTCCCATTTCTGGTGGCGAGGACTGGCTCTCTGGTGGTTACAAAAGTTTCATGTTCATTGTCAGAAAATGAGAAAGTAGGAATTGCTTCGTCGTCTTCCTCTGGAACGATCGAGGTTTCGTAACAGGATTTTCCTTTGCCTTTTGATTTCTTCTGGGATGACGATCCGGCCCATTGTTCATCTTCAATCAGATCGGGATGAACCCATAGAATCTCGCCATTTGGGGCTGTGTGTGGCACAAGTCCCTTCTGACGTTGTTTGTGAGGATCGTCATTGACGGTCTTCATTGCCACATTTATCACAGGCTCAGGCTCAAACCAATTCAAAGGAACAGACCCAAAGCTGATTGAAACTGCATTTGCACCCATATTCTTTTCCTTAGGTTGCTTCATAGTGATGACCCCAACATCAATCAAAGCTTGGATCTTGTCTTTTAGGACATAACACGACTTGGTAGGGTGGTGCACCGCTCCGTGGAATGCGCAGTATTTCGGATCATTAACCCTTTTGGCATCTTCCTGATCTTGGATCGGAGGCAACTTAATCTTGTTGTTTTCTATGAGGTATTTGAAAATACCGGGGACTTCATCTTCTTTGAATGAGTAGACCTTCGGGAATTTCGGTTCCGAAGTTTTCTGTTTCTGAGGCTGTTGTTGCCACCGTGACTGCTGCTGTTGTGGTTGCGATTGCACTTCGAATGTTTGGTTCGCGTCCACTGCATTCGCTTGCGCTTTCCCTTTATCCCTCGGAACAAAATTCTGTTGTGGGGTTGGTGTCGCTATTTGACCTCTTTCGGCCTTTTTCCTCTTGAGGAAACGTTCGGCTCTTTCCCCTCGGACCTTCAAGTCCTTCCAGGTCTTAGACGGTGCCATTCCCATGGCTTCGAGAATATCCAATGAAAGGTTGTTGTGACAAGTCTCCAGGATGAAGTCCTCACTAATCGGATCCCTACAATTCATGGCTTTGTTCCGGAATCGTTTGATAAAATTCTCCACTAACTCTCCGTCCTTTTGCTTCTCGTCAAATAACGTTCCGATCGAGACCTCGGTGTCGTCGTCGAAGAAATTTGTGAGAAACATGTCCTCCATGTCATCCCAACTGCTAATGCTCCCCGGCTTGAGGCGGCGATACCAATCGAAGGCTGCTCCGCGAAGAGTGTCGACGAATGACCGTACCATCAAAGGTTCATTCCCGGAGATTATCCCCAAGTGAGACTTGAAGTATATTAAATGCTGAGTGGGGGAGCCATTTCCATCAAACAGTGTGAAGTTGATTAAGTTGAACTTCGCCGGATACGGGATTGACTCCCACTCTCTTGGGTATGGGCATGGTATTCCGGACCTTTTCACTTCCTGAGCATTCATCAACGCATTGATTTTGCTCTCCAAATCTCTCATTTTCTTATCCTCACTCGTATCTGTCTTCGAGTGGTTTCGAGGAGAAGTAACGTGGTCTTTTTTTGTATTGTTATCATCTGAAGGACCACCCGCGGTATTGTTATTGACGGGAGGAGTGTTCATGTTAACATTCTCATCCACTTCCCGCTCGTTATTATCTTGGTTCGGATTATTGCGACGGCTAGACTCTCCTTGATGAGTTGTCAGTGCCGCAATTTGCTGGTCATGCATCTCCCTCATTTGTTGCATAGCCATTTTCATTTTAAATTTAAAACTGTCTTTTTGCTTGGCTAAAGCGTCCTCAAGAATCTTAGCCACTTGCTCGGCGTGGCTAAAGCGTCCTCAAGAATCTTAGCCACTTGCTCGGCGCTAATCATGAGTGATTCGTAGGGT